GGCTTTATTTTTATATTGACATATGTTCCTTTTACACCTAATTTGTTCAGGGTTTTTATAATGAAGAGCTGTTACTCTGTGCATTTACTGATGTGATCATATAGGTTTTGTCCTTCATTCTAATTGGTGTGGGGTAGTATGTTTATTGATTTGCACGTGTTGTTTTACTGGGTAATAATGGATAATTTCTTAATGTACTGCTTGATTTAGTTTGCTAGTACTCACGGTTGGCAGGTTAGCTCAGTTAGAGAGTGGTGCTGATAGTTTGGTAGTACTCATATCTGTATTTATCCAAGATACTGGTTTGTGATTTTCTTTGTTAATTATGTCCCTGTCTAGCTTCATAAAATGATTCTGGAAAAATCCTAACTTTAGTTTTTAGAATAATTTAATAGGAATTCATTTTCTTAGTTCTTTATTTGGTACACTTCATCATTAAGATTATCTGGTCTTTGACTTTCTTTTGTGGAAGATATTTCACTACCGAATCAATACTATCGCTTATAATTTGGTTTTTCTGGTATTCTACTTCTTCATTATTTAGATTGTAAAAGTATAGGTTTCTAGGGATTCTTCCACTTCTTCTAGATTGTAATATAGTTGCAGAAGAATATATGGTTGTTCATAACATTCTCTAACAGTTCTTTGCATTTCTGTGATACCAATTGTATTTCTGTGTTATTGAGCATCTTTGCTCTGACAGAAAGATGGCATAGCCACCTTAAAAGAGAAAGAAATTATTTGGGCTTACAGGTTTTTTTTCGAGACAGGGTTTCTCTGTGTAGCTTTGGAGACTGTCCTGGAACTCGCTCTGTAGCCCAAGCTGGCCTCAAACTCACAGAGGTCTGCCTGCTTCTGCCTCCCAAGTGCTGGGATTAAAGGCATATGCCACCAATGCCCAGTTTGGGCTTACAGTTTAAGAGTCTTCAGTCTATAATCAACATGCTTCATTGCTTTGGTGCACAAGCTCAAGCAGAACATCATGACTGAGCGTATGTACTCAAACAAAGCTGTTCAGCTCATGGCAACACAAAACTACTAATGTTATGGGAGCCAGGAAACAGATAAAGCAAGCGAATAGTACTGCAATGAGCTATGTTGTTTCAGATTTCTATCTGTTGTCTATTTATCTTGTAATTTTGAGCTGTGGGTATGCCTGTGAGGGTGGCTTGCAGATATTTTGTACTATTCAGTTAGATTATTTTATATTTGCTCTGATGTTTATCATTAATTTTCTGTTTGGTTGCTCTTCTTTTCCTAGTTCCTTGATGTTTAGCAATATGATACATTTTCTTAAAGATTCTTATTTCTTTCATTTCATTTACTTTTTGAGATTGTAACATAATTACGTCATTTCCCCTTCCCTTTCTTCCCTCAAACCGTCCCATATACCTCTCTTTACTCTCTTTCAAATTCATTAATTTCTGTTGCATGCTTATATATATATATATATATGGGTATACATCTATATTATTTTTATATTTATTTAACTGTAATTATATATAAAGGTATAATTACATATAATATGCATATATTATTTTATATATTACTAAATATTAACCTGCTCTGTCTGTATAATGTTACTTGTATGTTTTCAAGGCTGACCATTTGCTATCGGATAACCAAATGGTGTGTTCTTCCTTGGGAAAGAGCATTTCTCCTGTTCTCAGCACTCCTTAGTTGCCTGCAGTTCTTTGTGTAGGGTTAAGGTTTCATCCCCATCCACTTTAGCATGTCTCTTATATTATGTTCATTCAGGTTATAATTGTTCTGGTCTTTTGATGAAGGCATTCATTACTGTAAATGTCCCTATTATTCTTGGTTTTGCTGCACTCCATAGGTTTTGTCAGATACCATTTCTATAATTTGTTTTTGATTTCATATTATTTTTCTGGATGTATTGGTTCAGCAAAACCAAGTTGTTACTATATGAAATTACTGAAAAATATTTCATGTTTAGTAGACAAGAATGTGTATTCAGAATATTTTATGAATGCCCATTTGGTCTAACATTCAATTCAACTCTGATAGTTGGGTGGCTGGGTAATCTTCTATCTGCTTCAAATAGGATATTGAAGTACTCTACTAATCTAGTATCCTCTACCTCCCACTTAAGGAGTTTTAATGTTTTTATTTTAATAAGTATATATATAAAACTTTTGCTGAATTGATTCATTTAATCATTATGGCAGTGATTGCTTTATGGCAGAGCACTTGCTGGGCATGAATGAGGCCCTTGGTACAATTCTAGGTACTGTAGAAATTAAGGAAAAAAGAAATTCCTTGTTATAGGACTTTCCTTGTTTACTCTTTTACTTTTGAACTCAATTTCTGAGAGTGTATGTCATGTTTGATTCATTTTGGCTTTCATTTTGCTGGAGTATTTTATTCTATCCCTCTACTCTCAGTGTATCAGTGTTATTACAGGCAAAGTGATTTTTGTATAAGAAATGTTTTCTGATTATAAATACTCAATGATCCTGCCATATAGTCCATTTTGTTTTTATAGGAAAATATAGACTGGTTATATTTACTGAATGGTATAATTCCTATTTATGAAGACTGGAAGAGTCTTGCACGTTTGGCATCTGTTAAGGGCCCAAACTCCATTTCCAAGATGGTGTTGAATGTTGCATCCTCCACCAGGATGAACACTCCTTCCATGGCCAAAGTGGCAAAAAGTGATGTAACTTCCACACACTCCCTTTTTTTTTATACTGGCATTAATATAACTGTGCAGACAGGCCTGTCATGGACTAAACACATTCCACTAGGTTCCCATCTCCCAACACTATTGTTTTATGGATTAATTTTTAAGCACATGGATTTCTAGGGGATAAAACCATGGTAAGATCTGACTAATACTATAGCCCTCTTTTACTTGTTGATATCATCCAGGTCTGACCTTATCTGACTACACCTCCCATTCTCTTATCCATTGTCACAAATGCCTCATGTGAGATGGCCCTCTTTGGATGTATACTCTCATTCCAGATTACCCCTTCCTTGTGCAGCCTATCCCAGAAGCCTCAATACTTCTTATAATCTGTTAACAGATCACCTGACCTTGAATCTGAGGTACCACCAAATCTCTTCCTAGTCCTTTACTTCCCTTAGAACAGCAGCACTCAACTTTACTAATGCTGCAACCATTTAATACAGTTCCTCAGGTTGTGGTGATCCCCAACCATAACATTATTTTCGTTGCGACTTCTAACTAATTTTGTTGTTACTGTCATGAGTCCCACAAGAACACCCAGCTACACAATCAAAATGTATATGTAGAGGACCTAGCTCAGACACTTACAGGCTCTGTGATTGTTGCTTTAGTTTCTGTGATCCCTCATGAGTCCTGCTTAGTTGATTCTGTGGCCTGTGTTCTAGTGGTATCTTCAACCCCTCTGGCTCTGCAATCCTCCTGCCACCTCTTCTTTAGGGTTCCCCTGCTCCGCTTAGTGTTTGGCTGTAGGTCTCTGCATCTGCTCCCATCAGTTGCTGGATGATGTTTCTCTGACAACTGGGTTAGGCACTGATCAATTAGTATAGCAGAATATCATTAGTAATCATTTTTTTCTCCAATCATATCTGCTTCTATCCCACGTGTCTGGGCTTCCCGGCTTCTGGTTCCTGGCCATCAAGGCAGTCACAGGCATGAGCTCTCTCTTAAGGCATGGACCTCAAGTTGGGCTGGACATTGGTTGGTCACTCCCACAAGTTCTGCACAGCCATTACCCCAACACATCTTGGGTTGGAACACATTGTAGGCTGAAAGTTTGTGGCTCGTTTGGTGTCCAAGTCCCACTGCTGGAAGCCTTGCCTGGTTATAGAAAATGACTAATTCAGGCTCTGTATCCTTCATTATTAGGAGTCCTTGCTAGGGTCTTCCTCATAGAATTCTGGGAGTTTCTACTGCACTAGGTTTCTACATCACCCCCCAAATGCCCCCCAACTTCAGCCGCCTCTCCCAGTACTCTCTCCACCCCTACCCGATCCCTCCTGTTCTCATCTGGCTCGTCCCCAGTTTACTTGCAAGTTATGCTATAGTTTTGAATGTCTCCAACATATTTGACACTAAATGGATATCCAAAAAAGAATCTACCAATTCTCAAAATATTATCAATCCAATTGATTTCTAACATTTTCTGTGAACACTGTGTGTGTGTGTGTGTGTGTGTGTGTGTGTGTTCAAAAGATATTTTGCCAGCATTGTGGCTGGAAATTCAGCCTACTTTCTCTTCCTGTTTTACTATTTTCATAAGTATAACAAATGTTTCTTTAAAGACAGTGTTAATACATTGAGTTATATTTATATTATACTAAATGTCTCATGGAAGAGAAATTGACTTTATGAAAATATAGCATTCTTTGGAATAATTCACTCATCTAAGAATAAACCAAATCATCATCATGTTCTAGCATCTACTTGTCATTAATTCAAATATGAGGAAAAATATAAAATCACGTGCCCAAATGCAGATATATCACCATCATAATTGGCATGATTTTGATGGGATTAGCATATATAGGGCCTATTATATTTTATATTTTCCATCTCTGAACTGCATATTGGATTCTGGCGGCATTTTTGCAAAATCATATAGCAACCTGATGGCACAACTAAGATCATAATACTGGAATTTGGAAATCTTAGGCTTTTACACTTCCTAGTATAGCATAATAATGCTCAAGTTCTTCATCAAGTACTGATCATAAAACAGTGCACTAGCAGAAAAAATTAAAATCAAACTATTTAAAGTTAACAACCCCCATAGTCATTAACCACTTATAACATTTTTCTTCTTCACTTTCAAGTTGGAGGTCTTTTTCTAACTTAAAGTTGAACTCAAACCTGAATGTTAACTTCTACTGAGCAATCTGTAGCATAAGTGAAATTACAGTTTTACTGTTTGGTCTTCCTAGAAATTAGTTGCAAACTCCATTTCTTGTTCCTCACATGGGCAGGACAATCATCTTTTGAAAGAAATGATCAGAAAGAAGTATTTAGAAATTAAAACACTTTAATATAAACATTTTTTCAGAATATAGACCGATTTCTATCAGCCCTTTGGAGAACATTTTAAAAGTATATATCATCTAATTTATTATACACTAATTTTCCACTTTCAGAACTAGAAAATACAAAAATACACTGCAAATTAGATTTAACAAAAAAGGTCTAAGTTGCTTCATTCATTTTCATTGGAGAAAACAGAAACATTAACACACAACAGTAGTAAAATACCACCAATACTAACACAAATTCTAAAAGGAATAGATTCTGTGAAGTCTGGTCTCCCACAGGTCTGACCATTCTTCCAAAATCAAACAAGACTGGGGAAATTCAGGGTGGTATGGCTGTAGACTGCTGTGTAATTCACCGTTAAGTACATTATTTCCATGAGCAAACAATTCACTTTCATTGCAACTTGATGGACAAAGTAGAAACACCTCTACTTAAGAAAACCATATTATATATAAGCAATAGAATACATTTTCTTTCTTAAAAAATCAGAGAAATTAACTTTAAAAAGCATATTGAATATTTTTACCTCATGTGGCTTTTGTTAGCAATAACTTTACACATGTACAAATACACAAATAACACAAATATCATGAAACCAAAAGTTTTCAACCTTTCTTTATCCTTAAGGGAACAAAACTGAAAATTAGAAAGCACTTAATCTTCTGAATTTTCTTCAGTAGGTTTCTTCTTCTCCCATCCTTCTTAGTATTATGTTCTTGTTTCTTGAAGGCTAGGTTTAGACTTTGTGGTTCTTCTTTTAATTACATTTTGAAAGCAGGAAGTGACAGAAAGAGTGAGGGAGGAAAGCAGATGAGAGAGGAGAGCAGAGCAGAGGACACACACACATACAGAGAGAGAGAGAGAGAGAGAGAGAGAGAGAGAGAGAGAGAGAGAGAGAGAGAGAGACTCTTCATAACTGACACTGGTTTTTTATCAATTCTCCTCCTTTGAAGTGCTTGATTTTTATCTAAATTTCCTCAGAATATTTCCCACTGATTTTCTCAACTCACTCTTCTGTAAGTAAAATTAAAAGTTCAAAATCCTTGAGTAGGTTTACCTCAAAACATTTCCTTAAAGACTGGATTTAGATGTCTTGTGTTTTTCATGTTCGATTTCTATTTTTGCAAACAAAAAAATCCCCGAAGGTTTTGCCTACGTTTCCTTGACTTCACCAGTTATTCCCATCTTTATCTAAATCAGCATTATTTTCTTTTTGCCATTCCTGGGTATCCTACAAGTTCAGAACCCAAGAATAGACTCATCCCAAAGGATTTCCTCTTCTGTTCTTTCTTCAACAGATTTCTTTTTCTCCTTCTTGTGCTTACGTTCCTCCTTCTCCGATGCTGCTTCATGTTTCCTTTTCTTTTTTCGATGCTTGATTTTCTCAGAGCTGACTCCAGCTTTATCTTCCTCTCCTTTAGTTTGCTCAGTGCTCTTGTCTTGGTCTAAATCTTTATCCTGACAGCTCCTTTTCCTTTTATGCTTGGGTTGTTCCTTCTCTGACCTTTCTTTCCCTTCCTCCAGGTGTCGCCTTCTCTTCTGATGTCGTTTTTTATGACTTGTTTCATGGGCACTGGCATTGTCATAGGAGGGCTGCTGCTTGTAAATGTCATACTCTACACTGTGTGAGCCAGGGCTACTTTCTTGCTGACTAAGGCTCAGGGGAACAGATTTTTCTGAAAAACAATCTCTCGTGAACTGATAGTAGCTGTCAGAGTCTAGGCTCTGCTGGCTCTCATATGCTGGTAAATGAGGTAACTTGTTTTCTACAGCATGGGAACTGTTGTGTGGATCTGTGTAAGTCTGGAAAGTCTCACACGGGAATCTTTGCTCAAACATTCTATGCTTGGATCGTCTGTCAACCATTTCTCTGTAATTATGGGTTTCAATAGCACTATCAATTCTTCTAAAAGAAGTCTTTGGCTTCAGTTCTCTAGATTCCTGCACCTTGTTGTAATCATCAAACTCAGTTTGGAAATCATCACTTCTCTTCTTTGAATGAGGTGGTAACCAGTGAGGTAACTGGCCTTCCACTGGCGAACCATTGTATTGTCGCTGGTAGGTCTGTGGACACTCAGATGAAAATCTTTCCTCACACATCCTTGGTCTGTGTCCAGGATCAAACCTTTCTCTGTATTTCTGATCTCTACACCTATAGTTTTCTGTTATCCGTCTAAAACTAATATTGGGATCGAGCCCTCTGGCCTTCTGCCCTTTGATGTAATCTTCAAGCTCGTCCTGGAAAGAGTCATATGTTTTTGACTGTGCTGGTAAACAATGAGGTAACTGGTCTTCTACCGCTCGAGAATTATTGTATGGTCCTGGTTGTGTCCAGAAATTTTCAAGTGGAAGTTTTTGTTCAAGCATTTTATGTCTGGGTCTGGAATCAACCATATCTCTGTATCCATGGACTTCCAAGTAATTGTCCTCCATCTTCCTGAAATGAGCCCTGGGCTCTAGTTCTCTAGGTTTCTTCACTTTGATGTAATCTGCACATTCACCTTGGTAAGACTCTTGCATCTTCTTTGAATTCTTCGCTTGACTGATAACATGAGATTCTCTACAAAGAAAATAATACAAAGTTTTGATTACTCTGAATACTTTCTTTGCTCTAAAATATTAGTTTAAACAAAATCTACAGAGGTTGAAATAAAAATTTAAAACTATAAAAATGAATTTTGATGTCCAAAAGATATAGCATGGGTAGTCAGATATCTCTCCAGAATTTCACAAGTTTTATGCAAAAACATTTCTTGGAAGATAGTAGAGTGGAGACATTGACACTTTCATTTTCTTCATGATATTGAAATAAAATCACAGAGGAAGAGCTGCAGGGAGAGGGAATGCCATGGAGAGATCCCAGAGTGCAGCAATAGACAACAACAAAGTGAACTACAGGAATATTGAATGTTCAAACCGCAAGAGATTTAAACGGTGAACCATAATACCAAGTGCACAGCAATAAACTATGGATGGGGAAGAGGACCCTCAGTGGGGCTCTTGGAAACTCTTGGTGAGTTACAAATTATAAAAACTAGCACCTTGTAAACGTACAGTCTAACACCTTTCCCAGGGTGGGGAGGGCAGAGTAAATGAGTACCTGCCTGCTGGATGTCATCTCAAGCCTGTATCCTTGCTGCATTGGGCCCACCCAACCCTCTGATACTTCTCTGAAGTGAAATTGACAGATATACTTCCAATGCCCTGAACAGAAGGGCCATGTTGACAATAGAGCTGGAGCAGCTGAGGCAGTAGCCTGTGGTAGCTTGGAAACCAGACACCAAGAAGAGAGTTGGCTTGAGGGTAAGCTGGCAGAAGCACCTGTTCCTGATCTGAAGTTCCCTTCTATGACCCTGGGCAACACTCGACACTTCTCTAATGCTTGGATGTGCAGACAGAGATTGATGACATTGATTTAAAACAGCCAGCGGATTTACGACCTTTTCAATAAAAGCAGGGCTGCTTTAAAAATCCAAAAAAACACAATCTAAGAGAGGAGGCCTATAATCTATTAGTAAGCTGACTTCAAAGAAGTCTCCTGTATGTCTCAGTTTAACTCATTGCTGCTGAAATGAAGAACCATCTTAAAAGTTGCCCTGTTGTCCAGCCTTACTTCTGGATGTATAAATCCACCCATTTGACTATCTCCAAAATCCTAACTATCTCTCTGATTCACTGAATATACATTATCTAGACTAAAAAGAGACTTAAAACTGCACCATTAATCAAATGGACTAAGCATACAATATTTGATTCAACAGCTGTAGAATACACATTCTTCTCAACAGCTTCTGGAATCCCATAGTCAGGGAAACATTAGAGAGAAGAGAAAAGATGCTCCCTAAATGGATTTGGAACTTGCTTTCTAAGCGGGAATACATTCCTACTGTTGTAAACTGGCTCCAAAACCCATAACTGAATAGGTCTTAGACCCTGGGAATGGATAGTAAGATGGTTGTTTAGCTAAATTGACAGCATCAAACCATCCTCTACATGTCTATGTTTACATACACACACAAAGGCCAGCCTCTGCCTTGAACAGAGAGTACTCTCCTTTTCAGGTAAATGCAGAGACCCATGGCTGCATAAGATGCTGAGAATAAAGGCTTGGCCCTAAACTAGACATTTACATCACCCACTTAATATTGAAGGAATACTGGGGAAGATGGATCAGAAAGAATATTATGTTCTAATGAATGGGGAGAAGAGCTAAAATTGTATCTTAAACACAACACAGAAGTGACAAGTATGAACTTACAGCAGCTGTGTATACTGCCACCAGGTCCACAGAAGTTGGGCCCTCCTAATAGTCAGCTATGAAGAGGAAAAGGATTCATGAGGTCCTACTGCATACTATTTATCTACTGTCAACCAACAGATTCTTGGATAGGGGCAAGCATAGTATCCAGATGTCTACACAATGGTGATTCTACAAGGTTCTGATGGGTAGTTTGGAACTCAAGATCAGGCAGACAGCCCTCAGTAGACTTGATGGAACACTAAAAAGAATCAAAGCTAGTACACAGTGGGAAAAGATAGTGAAGGTGGCTAGTAGGGTGTGTGTGTGTGTGTGTGTGTGTGTGTGTGTGTGTGTGTGTGTGTGTATGGGAAGAACAGGAGAGGTAGGGAAGAGCAAAAAGAATACATAGTGTACATGTACAAAATTGTGAAAGAACAAAACTTATTTATTAAAGAAAAAAAGAAAACACAAGACAACAAATGTTGATGAGAATGCAGAGAAAAATGAATATGAATTCTGGTGGGAATGACAATTACTGTAGCTACTAATGAAATCTGTATGGAGGTTCTTCAAAAACTAAACATATAACTGCTATCAGATCCAACTATCTACCCAAAAGAATCCTATGTCACTTACAAGAGAGATGCCTACCCATCAATATCATGCACAATAGCCAAGTTATACAATAGTTTTGGTGACCACCAGCAGATAAACAAAGGATATATTGTGATGTGCAAAGAAATACTGTGTAATTACAAAGAAAAATAAAAATAGTATTGTTTACTGAAAAAATAGGCTAGACATGGAGATCATGATTAAGTGATTTCTCCTCATCTTAAAACCATGCATTAATACTGACTAAAAATGGACCTGTATTCTGTATTCTAGGTATAACAGCCTGACCTTTGTTCTTAACCGTTATACCTCACTAAAAAGATGATGATTAGATCACTGAATCCTTGGAACAAAGAAAACCTTTTGAGATGCCGTGAATTTGCATGGCTAGCCTGAAAAACAATGATTTTTAGCATGTCTACAAAGACAAATAATTTTGTTTATTTAGGAGGGGACACCAATTTGCCAGACAGATCTGCCAATTCATTACTGTGATTAGAAAATACCCTTTGGCACTAGTATGTAATATGTTACAAATATTGCCTACCACTTATAGGTTCAGGTAATAGGAAAATGAATATTTAGACAGTTTGTAAAATATACTGAAGAGTCTTTGACTAGAAGCTTTGGTCTTGGGTAACATGAGAATGTTTTTGACAAAAACCACTTACTTAATTTGATGTTCGCTTCCTTGCATGTGGGACCGGAACATATGTAAAGACGTAAAGGTGATACTGCAGATATGGCATACATAGGTTCTCATTCTATATGCTATAAAAATGATAGAAGAGTTTAAGAAGATCAATAGGTAAACGCTTAGTCATATGTCAATGACGGATGATAATTTATTAGAGACCCTCTACTTGAAATTTCCCAAGAAAGATGGGTCCCAAGACATAAAATTACTTGCTGATAGTCACAGAAACAAAGAGTCAAGTTAGTATCTCTTAGCCCATGTTTGTAAATTTAACACCCAGAATTCTTAATATTATACACTTTATCTATAGTCTTCATTTATTTTCTAAGAATATACTGCATGCTTGCTTGCTGTTGCTACATATACTGTACACCAGGGACCTCAAACTTATTATAGCTAACAAACTTCTTCTTCTTCTTCTTCTTCATTGTTATTCTACATTCTTTTTGTTCACTATTAGTTATTTTCCTATACAACTAAGCCCTGAAACACTCAAAAACTTTAGTTAAAATAGTAGCTAAATTTTACTCTCTTATCTGAAATCACTGTAGTTCACTAGTTACCAAAAATAATTCCCACAAATTAAAAAAAGAGAATCAGTGAGCCCCATGCAAAGGATGAAAGGTGAAAGTAAAATTCTGAAATGATAGTTGGCATTTAAAATGAGTAAATACAAAATAAAACAACAAAACCATAAAACCAAAACAATAACCTTCCCAAAAACAAGCAAAAAGAAAAAAATCCAAAAACCAAAACTTTAAAAAAAGTTGTATAACAGATAACTTTTCTGCTTTCCAAGTAGAATTTGCTGAAGGAAATAACCTTATTTTCTAAATTGTACCATCCTTCCAATTTCTTCTTGGTCAGAAGATGAACAACAGTTACGAAACAAGTATAAAATCAGCACTATTCTAGAGATGAGGCAATAAATTGGTACCGCATAAATTTTAAGGACAAGCAGAATCACCTTGTAAATAAAACAACAGCTTAATCACTTAAAAGGAAGATAAGTTAATCATATTCAAGTGTATTGACCTTTGATGAGCAAAAATTATTTACAGAAACCAGAGACTACTCGCAGGGTAAAACAAAAATGGTATTGAATAACATGTTCAGCAATCAAAAGGTTACATTAAATTTTGAATGAATGTTTTGATAATACTCAGGACATCCTTTAGACAGAACAGTCTTTCAAATAATGGTGTTATGGAAATTGATTATCTATCTAAAAATGTAGGTAGACTTCTGTCTCTCACCAGTTACATTGATTAACTCAAAATGGACTAAAGACTTAAATATAAGATTGGCATGGGGCAAACATGTATATTCAGGCCATACATTTCAAAGAGAGTGGGGAGGACTATATAGAAGAGATCTGAGGGAAGAAAGGAAAGGGATAAATGCTATACTTGAAATACAGTTTCAAAACTAAACAGCAAAAGGACTCACAGCTATGAAATTACTAGAAGAAAACACAGGTAAAATGCTCCACGATACTGTACTATATGAGGAATTTTGAAAAAGGCATTTAGAGACAATTAACTGAACGCTATGGATTCCCTACAAAATGAACTACTCAACCAGAAATTGTGGGTCTTCATAGCAATCTTTCCAGGAAATTATTGCTATCTTTATTTTATAGATGTGAAAACCAAACCAGTAACCAGAAATGGCCTTGATCAACAGTGTGTGTGTGTGTATACATACATACATACGTACATACATATATACATACATACATACAGAGAGCACCTAAGTGATGCAGGATAAACAAGATTCCTGGGTTTCTCTAAATTTGTGGCTTTCAAGGCTGGTTATACATTAGAGCCATGTGGAAAATGTTTATGTTACCTTATCCCTTGGCTTTTCCATACACTGATGGTCATCATTTTCTTCTAGGGTCAGCGTCACATGAGATCAATGAAATCAGAATCTCCAGGCGGTAGAAAAGAACTTTCCTTCATGAGAGTTCTTTCTTACTATGCAGTCACTGTTGAAGTTCTACCTAGATTCCTGAGTTTAGTGATCTTCTTTGTGATTATAAAGTCTCTTGAATGTTTGTATATTTCTTTAGTATTTATAAAGGTTACTGAACCATTTTCTGTTGAGCTCCTCCTGTGTTTCTCCACAAATTTCATCAGTATAAAGGCTCTAATCATGGAAATGCAGGTGCTTAGAAGGGTTGCTGGTCACATGTGAAAGGTCTAGAGGCAGTTCCAGAACTGTTGTGATTACTTTTATCTTAACTCTTAGACTTTCTACCAAGAAAATCTAGTTGACGCTACTACCGCTTTCTAGAATATGGGTAACTCAGACATAGTAAGTAAAAATATATAAAGTCTTTTTGTATAAACAGGAAGTCTATTTACTGGCCCGGTTATCAGAATTATTAGCCCAACATTTAAAATTATTTTAAACTTCATTTTGTGTGTGCACATATATGATGTGTGTATGTAAGCTGTGCAAACATGTGCCATGCTGTGCATGTGGGGGCCAGAAGGCAACTTGGGGGAGGGGTTAATTCTCTACTTTAACCATGTGGTTCCAGGAATTGAACTCAGGTTGTTAGGCTTAGCACCAAGCAAGTCTGCCTGATGATCCATTTTGAAAGACCTCTGGCCTAATCTTATAACCTATCTCTACTGTTTCTTTTGTTTGTTTGGTTTTTCGAGACAGGGTTTCTCTGTATTGTTTTGGAGGCTGTCCATGGAACTCGCTTTGTAGACCAGGTTGGCATCGAACTCACAGAGATCTGCCTGCCTCTGCCTCCCGAGTGCAAGGATTAAAGGCGTGTGCCACCACCACTGGCTTTATCTCTACTGTTTCTTACACTCTCAACTCTCTTATCTCAGAGGTTGTTCCTTGGGCCCATTTAGCTCTGCTATACTCACACCTGCTACAGTCGTTTCTAGGTTCACCTGGAAACTTTTTTTGCACCTTTAAAAAAATCTTATTTTAATTTGTAATTACCATACACAAAGGAGTTTAAAATGCAGAAGACAGCCATATACTGATGGTTCCAATAGTGTTAACATGTGAAGTGACGGTAATGGAAATGTAAGCAAAGAGGAATAGTTAGAAGATTTGATGATACTTGCTAATAGAAAGCATACAGGGAAGTAGCAGTTAATTAGATATTCAAGGATAGGTATCAAATAGCAGTGATACTGGCAAAGACAAAAGTTTTGCAATTTAAGTTGGATTTAGAAATTATTAGTTTAGTTTCAGATATGCGGTGTTACAAGTTAAGCTGAGGCATCTAAGTGCAATAGTGGAGCCAGAATTAGCAAAATAACTAAAACAAGCCCAGCCTTTAAAAAACTACATAACACTTTACTTCTGTATTAGTCTGTAGCCAACCCTGAGCTTTAAGTGCTGAGTTAGATTAGGGACTTAAGCAAACAGTGATAATGATGATGACGAAGAAAAAAGATCAAATGTGGAGAGACACGCACATAATAGCAGGTGAACAGAGGCAAAGTTAGAAAGGAGAAAATGAAAATAGTGGAATAATTAAAGTAGCATATGGTGTTAAGCAGCATTTAGAAAAATTTATGTATAGAGGTATTTTGCCTGTACGTATGTCTATCATGTATATGCAGTGCCCATGGGGGCCAGAAGAGAGTGTTGGATCCCCCAGAAATGGAGTTACAGATGGTCATGAGCTACACTATAGATACTAGGGTTTGAACTCAGATCCTCTACAAGAGTAGCCAGAGCTGTTAGCTTCTGAGCTATCTACATCCCCATAATTGCCTTAAAAAATACTAGCTCACTTGGAACATGGAATTCTGTAGTAAGTATTCTCTGAAATTCTCATTAGCTAATTTAACTTCTCTAGATATGCTTTTGTGCTGTTGTTGATGGTTTTCTTTTTGTTGTTGTTTGAGAAAAGGGTTCACTATGTAGCCCTTGCTGTCCTGAAACTCACTATGTATCCCAGTCTGGCCTTAATCCTCCATCCTCTCCCTCCTGAGTACTGATACAGGCATGTACTACCATGTCCAGCAGCACTAGCTATTTTCATAATGCTCAAATGTTTATGCTTGGGAGTCAGGCATTATGACAGGGCACATCTATTCTTTGTGCACTAGCTTAGAGAAAAATGCTTTCGATTAGTATACTAAATTTTGCTGATGCTACTTCATGGTTAGATAAGAACTTCACCAAAATTCTTTTTGCTGCTTAAGATATTTGTCATTTTGACACAAGCTAGGGTCATCTGGGTTGAGGGAACCTCACTTGAGAAAACTGATCAGATTGAACTGCGGGCAGGCATGTGGGGCACTTTTCTTGAATATGACTTATGTAGAATGGCCCAGCCCACCCCTGGGCAAGCGGTGCTATTTGTATAATAAAGTAGACTGAGCCAGTCATGGTGGCAAGCCAGTAATCAATATTCCTCACAGTGTCTGCTTCAGTTATTGTCTCCAGGTTCCTGCCTTGAATTCCCTTGATGGTTGACTATAAATGGGAAGCTAAAATAAACCCTTTCTTTCCAAAGTTGTTTTTGATCATGGTGTTTTATCACAGAAAGCAAGCTAAGACATTCTTCTTCCCTCATTCTAATAACCTTGACATGTCAGAGTACTAAAATGCTATCTCCCACAGCAGCAACATGAGTCCAAACACTTCTCATTCAGACTCAGTTCAAATATACACAGAAGCCACACATTTCAGATACCCTCCATTCACCAGCAGGAAAATTACCCAACAATTGGCAATTCATCATTCCTTCAAACATCTGTTTTTAAAGTAGACTGCCACTTCTACTTTTATGCTTACTTAAATCAACATTCTTTAAAATACTGGGTCAAACTATATGTCCCTACAAAATGTTTTAGCACTTTGAACCGCACTGTGTAGGAAACTGCAATAGTACAAAGGGAAAGCACTTGAGATAAAGATTCATTAATAGTTCACTGATTCATATATTAAACTAATCTCTACTGATGTTGGAGTAGTCCTATGCTTGTTTTTATGTCTCGCACTAGAAACAGAGATGAATTACATGACATTTGCTCCCTTAAAGACCTTAAACTGAAATGGGAGAAAAAGCACGTAGAGAGATAAGTAGACACACAGAAGGGTAGGCCGTCTAAGGGAAGAAAAGGACTTCCAGGTAGCAGCAGAATTTTTAAGAATGAGTATGAACTAGTCAGAAGCAGGTTATAGAAATATTTAAGACAACAAGGGAGGAGGGGTATGAGCAATAGTACAAATAAAAGAAATAAGATAATGTTATTGGAAGCCATACAACTTACAGGTACTGACCTGCATAGGTAACAGCAGGTCAGCATCAGAGGACAAGCATGGAGCAGAGGAAAATGAAAAGAAGATAGCTGTAGCATTTAGATTTCATCCTTAGAAGATGGAAAAACAGTGAAGAAATTTCAAGTCCGACAGTGTCAGGGAAATATTTGTATTTTGAATGGAACACTCCAGTTATTGAACTGAGAGTGCATTCATGGAGACAAAACCAGCGGGAGGCAAAGTATTTAGAAGACTATGATCCTGTGTTTTCAGGTTTCTTACGTATAAATCATTCATAGGTCTTGTTAAAGGAATGATTCCTTTTATCTAATAAGCTCTCAAATGATACCAACAATGCTGGTCCACACCTCACAGTCTGACTAGCAAAACCCAAAGAATATGTAAAGACCTATAGTAGTGTAGGAAGAGTACTGATGGAATTAAGAGGACAGTAATAATTTAGAAGGTAAAATAATCATAACTTGGCACTCCATTAGCTTTAGAAACCTATGACTGTGGTATTGGGATGCTTACAGTTAACTATAGGGTTTTACTTTGGAACAGTATTGATTTCAAATGGCTTTGAGGTGTCCAAGTGCAATATTATCTACCATTTTGACATGCAGTCTAGATTTGATGGACAGGTTATAAGAATATAGATGACAGGTAAAACCAGAGGAATACACGGAATTGTACTTGTAGTGTCAGGCCAATAATGGAACCTGGGAGCACCTAAATCTAGGCAGTGAACTGACAAAGAGCTGACATAGAAAGCAAATAAACAGAAATAAAGAAGAACCAGACTATAAGGTGTTGTGCAGGAAAAGAATAGAGTTTTAAGAAGTAAAGAATCATGAATGTTTTCACATGGATCAGAAAGTCTATCTAGTAAGAAGAGGTGAAACGTAATGAATTGGAGAGAAGGGAGAGGAGAGAATATGAGAGGGCAATAAGAAACACTAGAAGTGAGAAGGTGCTTGCATGTATGTGGTGGGGACGTAAAAACATAATGAAAGAACACATATATTTCTCCAGTCAAGGCCAGTCTCTATGTTGTACCTGAAATTTTGCTAGCCTTTCTTAGCTCCAAGCCATCTGATCATTTTTTAACCTTTCTACTTATATCAGTCAAAATCGTAGAAATCTATGGACTGTGATATTTCATTTCCTTTGTTAGCAAATTATGTGCATAAACTATATAGTTGTAGTCTGAAATGAGGTATTATTAACTAGTTTACATATTTTCTTCTTTAGGGAGAATGGTATCTATTTATATTATCAAGAATGACTAGTTAGCATCATTTTCGTTGTAGCATACTAACTTGAAATACATCTTTAAAATAACATGAAATTACACACACACACACACACACACACTAGTGTATGATTTTGAAATTAAGAGACATAAAAGACTTTCTAGTTCTCACATCCTAGAAAAACAAATCAAAACACATGGACTTGATTGCTTGAATACTACCAGTTCTTTCATTAACAAAAAAGGAAGTGGTTTACAAGTAAACTAGCATGTTTTATAAACTACAAACCTCCTGTGAAAACTTTTTCCTGATTGCCATTTGCATTTAATTGTGCCCGAAGACATTTCTCTGCTATTTAGCTATAAATGTTTTCCTAGTTTAATTTCTCTTTGCTCCTAATAAAATGTTGTGGAGCATTAGCAGATTATTAAACGAAGCGGGGAAGGGCTTAAACTATCTTCTTGGATTATTCAGATCCAAAGCACTGCTAGAGGTAAGAGGAGTAGTTTTGTCTTTATTCCTTACCTGGAGGAGGCTTCACAATAACGGACTTGAGGAAGGTTGGTGCTGCTGAAGTAGTATTGGGTTTATCTGCAGAAATAATTGTAATGAGACATTATCAACATGTGATCAGATATTAGAACTGCATCTATTGTAAAGTATTAAAGAAAGTCTCTAAAAATTAAAGAAAGTCTCTAAAACCCGCTATCTTTCTATATTTTCAGCACAGGACTTCTGGATAAAGGAAATTAAGTGAAGGCTCCCCTATGAGATAAATGTGAATATTAGTACACTAAGGATATGGGAAGAAAGGACTATTTACTTCCAACATTGCTTGACCATTATCATTTAAGGAAACTATAGAGGCATGGGAGCCATTTCAAGATGATTCTTTTGTAGTTCACAGGATAAATCAGACAGCATGAACTTCTAAGTTGATATTTTTCTCAAACAACATATCCATTCTCTCTTGATTTGTGATGTTTACACCAGGATGAACTCTTAGCAATTAATAGCCTGAAACTAAATGTTTTATTGTCTGTCTCTTTCAATTGATTTCATTCTTGAAACAAAAAAATGAATTTGGGGACTGTAGGTAAGATATTTACAAAATGGTTTCTCTTGTAAGGCACAATGACTATCCCTCTTTAAATCAACAGATAGGAAAACAAGCATATGACAATTTAAGAGACTAGAATAAATATAAAACTTAATTTTAGTTTACTTATTAGAAAAAATTATATTAATATACTGAGGTAACGACTTTTCTCTGAACAATACCTATATGATACTCTGGATATTAATGCTGGTGATTTTTTTTCAGGAATGAATGCCTTACTGACACAGTATTAAAGCTCTTAAGAACATGCTAAATTGAGCCAGGCAGTAGTGGAACCCATCTTTAATCCCAGCACTTGGGAGACAGAGGCAGGTAGAACTCTGTGAGTTTGAAGCCAGCCTGGTATACAGAGTGCATTCCAGGACAGGCTCCAAAGTTACACAGAGAAAACCTGTTTTAAAAAACTAAAAACACAACAAAACAAAGGAATGTGCTAAATTACTTGTTTAGCTGATCAAACATCATTTTTTTTGGTAGCATGCAAAAATTTCAAGATATGAGCTGTTTTCCAAAAATATACTCTGCCAATTTAGGTAATTCAGTGGAAGCTCTTTCATTTGTTCATTTGAATAGATGAAGAGGCAATGTTCTATAATTCTTTGTAACCTTGGAATTTAGTACACTGTAATTACTCCCTGGTACTTCATATTTATAGAAGCAAAAGAATGGATTATTAGGATTGGAGGAAATTCAGCAATTTAGTTTCCTCTTTTCATTTTTTATTAAATTAGAAACAATCTTATTTTACATATCAATCCCAGTTCCCTCTCCCTCCTATGCTCCCATACCCCCCACTGATGCCCCATCTCATCCCCCTTATGCTCCCCAGGGAGGGTGAGGCCTTCCATGGGGAATCATCAAAGTCTGTCATATCATTTGGAACAGGGCCAAGAGCATCTCTCGTGTGTCTAGGTTAAGAGAGTATCCCTTCTATGTGAAATGGGCTGCCAAAGTCCATTTGCGTACTAGGGATAAATACTATCAGAGGCCCCATGGACTTCCAAGGCCTCCTAGCTGACAGCCACACTCAGAGGGCCTGGTTCAGTCCTATGCTGGTTTCCCAGCTGACAGTCTGGGGTCCATGAGCTCCCCTTGTTCAGGTCAGCTGTTTCTGTGGGTTTCCTCAGCCTGGTCTTGACCCCTTTGATAATCACTCCTCCCTTTCTGCAACTGGATTCCAGGAGTTAGGCTCAGTACTGCTTCCATCAGCTACTGGATGAAGGCTCTAGGATGGCATATAAGGTAGTCATCAATCTCATTTTCGGGGAAAGGCATTTAAGGTAGCCTCTCCACTATTGCTTAGATTCTTAGTTGGGCTCATCCTTGTAGATCTCTGGACATTTCCCTAGTGCCAGATTTCTCTTTAAACCTAGAATAGCTCCCTCTATTATGGCATCTCTTTTCTTGCTCTTTCCTATTCGTCCCCTGACTCAATCTTCCTGCTCCCTCATGTCCTCCTCTCCCCTCCTCTTCTCCCCTTCTCTATCTCCTAACTCCCTCTCCCCTCTCCCCGTGTTCACAATTTGCTCAGGAGATCTTGTCCTTTTCCCCTTCTCCAGGGGATAAGTACACTATACAGTACACATAGTATAGTATATAACGGTACTGTAGTGAAGTCATTGATCTGAATAGACAAGTGAGATGAAGTTTTAGAAAGTAGTACATCAAAAGATTATACCAAGGGGGTATAAAAAATACCCAAGATTTTTGATTTCTCTAGCTGCTTATTGCTATTTATAAAATAAAGCAGTCACTTGCTTTATGTGGATTCAGTGAAACAAATAGTGGCCATAATACTTCTTAAAATTTAGTTAGCAATTATCTCCACAGACAAGGACACAGAAAGCAATTTACTAAGCAGAAGAACAATCAAGTTGCTTGAACTGCAGTGAAACTTTGCTTCCCAAAAGGGACGGTACAGTGTGGGAAAAAGAGAGATTATGTATCTGAGACAAAGAGATGAATACAATCTTACCCATCTTTGGTTGACATCCTGATGGAGCTACTCTATCATGATCTTCCAGTAATTGCTTCTGATCTTGCGGATGGCTCTTTCCCACATAGTGAGCCTGAGCAACTGCCGAGGAGTCAAAACTCATGTTGCAGAAACCACTAAATTTGTTTCTGTCGACTTCTGCACTCTTGTACACCTGTAAAAATCACAATCTTTTTATTTTGGAAAGATTAAAAAAGCTGACAGATCAGAATTATAATTTTTAACACAGACAACTCACCTGAGAATTCTCAACATGCATGTTCACTTTTCTAGCAGGCACTTGGTTTTGTTCCCCATGCACTTGAAAATAGAACTTAACATTTTGAGCATGTATTTCACTCTGAAAAAAAGATGTGGTCTCGTTTATTTAACAATAGACACCTAAAATGTACACATCTCTGAATGTGAGGTCAGGACACATCAGTTTTTGTTTTTATTTTTCAAGTCAGGGTTTCTGTGTGTAACAGCTTTGGCTGGCTGGCTCTGTAGACCAGGCTGGCTCAAACTCAGAGATCCACCTGTTTTTGCCTCCCAGGTGATGGGATTAAAGGTGTGCACCACCACCACTCCGCAGGAGACATCAATTTTAGCAGACTTAGCATTAACTTTTTTGTTTTGCCATCAGGACCTTGAATAGGCTAGGCAAGTGACATACATTTGAACTACAGCCTCAACCCATGACTACAATAAATAGAAAGAATTTCACTCCTTTTAAATTTCTAAACTCTAGTTAAAATTAAATTATTCTACAACTTAGAAGTCAGTACTTTTCTGTTTTTAATATCGTGTTAAACATTATAATGGGTTTAATTATGACATTTTCATGCATGTATATATTTTCATTATATTACATATTATCTCTTTTCTCCTCTAGTGCGTGCTAATTCCCTTTCCAACTCACTACCCCTTCTACTTCCATGTCTTTTTATGTGTGCCGCAATGATCCTCATTAGGATAACGTACATGAAAATTAGTAAAAGATATTTACAGGTTGTGAGCACCTTATTAGTGACTACATCACTGCAGAAAATCTCTCCCTTTCCCAGCAACTGCCAATTGCCAATAGATGCACAGGGCCTTGTAATCTCCTGCCTCCCAGTAACTGTTAGCTGTCAATGTATCTGGGGATAGGATGGGGGCTTATGAGCCTCTTCAACCTCAGCGACAGGAAGCTGACAAGCCAAATCAATAGTCTATATTTATTATAAAGGAAGACTCTAGGAGTTCTACAGCATTGCTCAAAGTTGCTAATACCTACATTATATTTACTACAATAACAGAGATTACAAAGGAAGACAAAATGATGTGAAGAAAAGAAACTTTGTGGTCAGAACAAAACCACTGAGTTTAATCTAGACTCCCTAAACTTAAATTTGTATGTGATTATCTTTTCCTGAGCCAACATTCTTGTCTGTCAAATGGAAGTGTTACCATGTTTCAGGCTCTTAAGTTAATCAAGATGACTTATATGAAGCTAACTAGCTACACTTAAAAATATGATTTCTCATCTTTGTTCCCACTGCATTTAACCAACCTCATAATGGGAAATCCTTTCTGATTCAAGATGCAGTACCACTCCACATGCTTGACAAAAGTTATCTGTAAAATATGCAGATCTTTCTTGTCCATCACAGGTGGCATCTATCAATAAAGTAAAGAAAAAATCTACCATATCAATGAAGTTTGAATTAACCAAATTTTCATATTTGGGAGTATGTAGTAACAGCCCTTTCCTCAAATATGCCATTTAATGTGATATTTATATGTATATATATATATTTGTGTGTGTGTACATGTATACACACATATAAATATATTTAATGTATAATATGGAAATAGTTACCAATTTAGAGTGGCAAGTCCAGGCAATAAAATTGTAAAGCAATAGTTAAATGGACACAACTGACTTCACGAAACTTCACAGAATGATTTAAGGAATCGGTAATGAAAGGCTGAATTAAAAAGAGAGACTTAGCCAGGCATTGGTGGCACACGCCTGTATTTCCAGCACTTGGGAGGCAGAGGCAGGCAGGCCTCTGTGAGTTTGAGGCCAGCCTGGTCTACAGAGCGAGTGCCAGGACAGCCTCCAAAACAACACAGAGAAACTCTGTCTCGAAAAACAAAACAAAACAAAACAAAAGAGACTTGGTATTTTGCTTTACATAAGACAATCCTAAGAAATGTAATACAATCCTAAGGTATATAAGACTGTCATATGATATATGACTCCAGTGTTATTTAAAAGTCACAACTGTATAAAATGGGCAAATTTCTCCCATCATTGCAAAAATACCAGGGCATGTATTTGTAAACACACAAATTTCACGTAAGTCTCCCTTTAAATATATAAATTAATGCTTATGTACTACAATCAAGAAGTTTATGCTGTAGTGACTGTGTCCATAACAAACAGCACATATCCAATAGTTTTATATCTATACTTTAGGTCCACATTTACATCTAATGTTCTTAACAGATTCAGTGGATTCTTCTGTCAATGTTCATTGGTTTATTGATATGTTATTAATCAAAATAACCATACCTTTGCTTATTATTTGGCTTTTTAAATGAGTAAGTTTGTGTAACACTCACTTTCATGGATGCTATACTGAATAAATAAAAGTCTTACTAAAATACAATATACTCAATTTCTAACAATGATAACTATACATACACACAGAGAGAGATAGAGATAGAGATGAGAGAGAGAGATAGAGATAGAGATAGATACAGGATGATCTAAATTAAATTTAAACGTATTTAGCTCTGGAAAATGGGGCAGACAAGAGAAGAAGACTTAACATTTTATTCACTTTAACTCTTGTTTTGTAAAAGGCTTTCAGGGCTTTCTCTATACTGTGAAGATAGACATGAACAAAATGGTAGGACCTCTATTTAAATAATTATCCATTCACAAAATACTTTGCAGTAGTTAAGGCTGTAGAGTACAGTACCTGAGTGTCTTACAGAAATAAAATATATTGAATAGCATAAGATGGGAACTTTTGTTTGCCTGTATCATTCCTTACTCAATCCTAGGTAGAAGAAAATTAAGGAAGACACTTTCTGTGTGTGAGGAAGAAGCCGGTAATGAAAATTGTGTTTTACTTTGAACCCTAATAGTGGGCACACTTTGCTAAAACTTAGCACCTAGAAGACACCCAAAAGCTTCAGACTAATCAGCCAGGTGTCTCCAGATCGAATTTCCAAGCCAGCTCTGGGAACATATTGTGTCCTGCTGTTTCAGGCTCTAGGACTGTGCAATAGTTTCAGTTTACAGGCTGCTCTTATGTCTGGCAAGCCTCCTCTTAGCACCAGATTGACCTGATAATCAGGCTGATTCCTGTAAGTCCTGGTCCATCAGACCAGCCCACATGGACCACAACCTAGTGAGCTACTGTGGATACAAGCTCCAGACTTGTACTTGAAGACAGAATCTTCAGTTTGCCACAGTGCCAGCCAGGACATTATAGCTCTAGGTTAATACCTGCAGCATCACCTACCATTCTAGACCCTGCAGTCCCATGCTCTCGAAGGCCAGTGTTAAGGTCTGTTCCATAGACCTTAGAGCTGGACATCTCCCCATAGACCCAGGTTCCAGCATTAGTCTTATGTAACCAGTTCCAGGCTGGCTCCTGGAGCTTCAAGTCTTAGATTATGCCCTTATATACCTAGTCATTCCCCAGGAACTGAAGTCCCTATACTTCAGGATGTTCAGTGACGTACAAGTTCCAGGACTATCCTTGTGCATCCAAGCTCCAAGCCCATCCTTAAAAGATCCAGGCTCTGGGCACATTCCTAAATAACTGACTAATAAGTCTACCACACTGGATTCAGATTTCAGGGCCAGTCCCAAGAATGTGGGCATACCCATTTGCTGACCTAATCAGGAAAGCACACAAGGATACTAGCAGTAAGCGTTCTAGAGGATCACATCATGGGGACTGTCACAAATTTTTGAACAGGAATTCCCTGGGTGGCAAAATAACATTACTACTGAAGGAAATTTTCTTGAAGAAACTGTCATTCTCCATCTGGGAATCCCTCCCTCCCATTCTTGGGTGTTCTTTCTTTTCCTTAATAGACCTATGTCTACTGTATTTAAAATAGTATTGTTAAGACTTACTGTCTTTAACTTATTTTTTTCAAACATGGCTTGGTCTATTTTTGTCTATCAAATGACACAATATACCCAGGTTCAAAATCTCAGCCATTCTCTTCACTGAATTAGTGATTCCTCACAATTCTGACTTATAATATTCTTTCCTATCACTTCTTCCTTCAAATCCCATGTAACAATACTTTAGTTCATGCCCTCCATGTATTCCAACATGATTTAGCTTCACTGATACTAATTAAACTTAGCTTCAAAATATTACGTTACATATTCTGGGATGAAATAGGCAAAAAGAAGAATATAATTGCGGATCTTTTCATGCTAAACCCTTAGATCTTAACACAAATGTATACAGTAAATAGTATTTTGTGCATTCTGAATTAGGAAACCGGGAGCAAGTGAAATTGAAATAAACTGCCATGTTTTCTTTGGTGGAGTGGATGTCTATCCTTTTGTTTTACTTGATTCTTTCCATTACACATACACAACTGTTATACATGTTGGAAATGACTAATCACTAACTCCAAGGAGAGTACAAATGAGTAAGGAAGATAATACGTGTATGAAAAAAAATCTATAATCCCCAGACCAAAATGTTTCAGGTGCTAAAAGATGTAAGAGGGTACAGTACACACGGTATATTCTTTCTGAGGGAATTAGAATGAAAATTATACATAATAAGCCTTGTCTAAGCTTTAAAAATACATGTAAACAATGTCACTAAGCTATAAATAAAAATGAAATAATAACATTTGCAGGAAAATGGATGGACTGGAAATCATGCTAGGCGAAGCAAGCAAGGTTCTAGGAGACAAATACTATATGTTTTCTGGCATATGTGGAACCCAGATTTAAAGTTATATGCATGAGTATATACCTGTGTATATATATGTGCATATGCATGCATGTGTGTGTGCATATCATCAAGCTAGAAAAGGGATTGTGAAAGGGCAGGAAGAGATCTTAAGGGAGGGGTGGGGGAAAAAGAGAGACAAGGAAGCAGAAGGGGAATTATTTTCAAGGGGTGGCAGAGAACCAACCATAGGAAGCACAGGCACAGCCGAGGGCAGTGGGGAAGGAGGACAAATTAGAACAATGTATAATGATACATACAAGAAAATACCAAGATGAAACACCTTACTTTGTGCATTAAATAAAAATACTAATACACATTTTAAAATGAATAAAAATAAAAGTATTTCAAGGCAGGCAATAGTATGAAT